CTGTTTGAGTCCAGACAGCACTTCCTCTCTCGACAGGAAGTGGCGCAGCTCTCCATGGATGATGTCCATCTGATTGGCTATAGTCTGGGAGCGCATGTGGCCGGATTCGCAGGAAGTTATTTCAGAGGACTGAGGAAAGTGGGCCGCATTACTGGTAAGATGCAGCCAAACACATGATCAAACAGCATTTATCAGAGCTTGAGCTTCCCATTCATCTTGACGACTGTCACTCCGTCTCAAGAGTGCTGATCAGTTTATAACGGCTGACATCACTGGAATGAAGAAGTGAAGATCCTGACATGATTCAGTCTGAAACTTTCTTCAGAGGAACTGTGGTCTCTAGAAAGATGCCCGCATTCTCCACCAGCGTGTGATGAGCAGAGTCTCGATGAAAACACACATGCTGTTCCAGCCAGTGAAAGACCAATGACAGAGTGCTGTGTGTGTGATGCAGGTCTGGATCCGGCCGGGCCACACTTCGAAGGTCAGCCGGCGTTTGACAGACTGTCTCCGGACGACGCTCAGTTTGTGGACGCCATCCACACCTTCACCGGCTCCAGCATCATGCCGGGAGTAGGAATAAAGCAGAGCGTCGCTCACGTGGACTTCTACCCCAACGGAGGCTCCTTTCAGCCCGGCTGCAAGATGCTCGACATTTACAGCAACGTCTTCCAGTATGGCCTGCAAGGTACTACTGAACCCGACGCGCAGATCCGCAGGCAAAAATATAGAATCATTTGGCATGATTCATTTGCATTTATTGAGATGATGAATTGAACAGGCCATTCAAACTGGACGTGTTCTTGTGTTTTTGATTAATTACACGAAACACAGACGTCTCAGGATGTGTTTTTAAAAGATGAATCGGAATCAAAAACAGCTGAATCAGGAATTTGTCTAGGTGACAGAAGCTTATAGTGCAGAGCAGGCTTATTACATTATATATTAACTGATTCTGAAACTAAATATAAACCATTATTATATATTAACTAAAACTATAAAAAAAAAACATTTTCATTATTTGAAATGAAGTAAATATTTTAAGTAAAAAAATTTACTTAAATTTATTTTAAGCTAGTTTCTAAGGCAACATCATTTTCATTTAGTTTAACTTGATGTACTAAAATAACTAAAACTAAAATTAAAATAAAAATGTAAAAAAAAAACTACATAGACATTCTTAGTTTTTGTTTTTAATCTAATACAAATGACAAAAACACAACAAAATTACTAAACTGTAACTGAAATTAACATGAAAATATATCATATATAAAATAATATATAAAACATGTATAAAAATATCACTGCAAAAAAAGTTTTCTTCCTCAGTATTTTAGTTTTTTCCCAGTACAGATATCTAAATATTCTTTTATAGTGCAGAGCAGGCTTATTACATTATATATTAACTGATTCTGAAACTAAATATAAACCATTATTATATATTAACTAAAACTATAAAAAAAAAAACATTTTCATTATTTGAAATGAAGTAAATATTAACTGAAATAAAATAAAATTTACTTAAATTTATTTTAAGCTAGTTTCTAAGGCAACATCATTTTCATTCATTTTCATTATTTGAAATGAAGTAAATATTTTAAGTAAAAAAATTTACTTAAATTTATTTTAAGCTAGTTTCTAAGGCAACATCATTTTCATTTAGTTTAACTTGATGTACTAAAATAACTAAAACTAAAATTAAAATAAAAATGTTAAAAAAAAACTACATAGACATTCTTAGTTTTTGTTTTTAATCTAATACAAATGACAAAAAACAACAAAATTACTAAACTGTAACTGAAATTAACATGAAAATATATCATATATAAAACAATATATAAAACATGTATAAAAATATCACTGCAAAAAAAAGTTTTCTTCCTCAGTATTTTAGTTTTTTCCCAGTACAGATATCTAAATATTCTTGAATCTAGATACATTTGCTTGATTAGCAAAATGATGTACAATATTAAGCAGTGCTTTAAGAAAAATTTCTCAATTTTGTTTGTTTTTGGTTAAAACAAGGGAAAATATGTGCCAATGGGCTAAGAAAAATAATTTTAATTCAAAGGGAAAAAATATAATTTTTCTTGCTCCACTAGCAAATATTTTTTTCTCAATTTAAGTAAAAACATAATTAATTTTAAAATATTTTTCAGAAAACAAAACTCAATGTGTTAAGTCATTTTGCTAACCAAGCAAATATATCTTGATTCAAGAATATTTAGATATTTGTACTGGAAAACAAGTAATAACTAAAACTAAAATTAAAATAAAAATGTTAAAAAAAAACTACATAGACATTCTTAGTTTTTGTTTTTAATCTAATACAAATGACAAAAAACAACAAAATTACTAAACTGTAACTGAAATTAACATGAAAATATATCATATATAAAACAATATATAAAACATGTATAAAAATATCACTGCAAAAAAAAGTTTTCTTGCTAGTATTTTAGTTTTTTCCCAGTACAGATATCTAAATATTCTTGAATCTAGATACATTTGCTTGATTAGCAAAATGATGTACAATATTAAGCAGTGCTTTAAGAAAAATTTCTCAAAATTTTGTTTGTTTTTGGTTAAAACAAGGGAAAATATGTGCCAATGGGCTAAGAAAAATAATTTTAATTCAAAGGGAAAAAATATAATTTTTCTTGCTCCACTAGCAAATATTTTTTTCTCAATTTAAGTAAAAACATAATTAATTTTAAAATATTTTTCAGAAAACAAAACTCAATGTGTTAAGTCATTTTGCTAACCAAGCAAATATATCTTGATTCAAGAATATTTAGATATTTGTACTGGAAAACAAGTTTAATAAATATGTCTGAATTTGCATTTCACAGTGGTTCTGTTGCACATGAGATGATGCGTTATGAGAGACTGATGAGGCTGTCGGTGCTTTAACTTTTTTAAATGGCACGCACTCTCACAAAAACATGGCACTTATGTGAAACCGCAAACTCAACCCAAATGCATGTCTAGTGCATATTTACATAAACCCAGGAATTAAAAATAGGACAGAGAGTACAAGAGCCATCATACTAAATGCAGCAGTGCTTCACCTGCTATTTCACAGCGCAGTGAACACAGTCATTTACACACAGCTGCTCATTATAGGTGTTCCCAAGACCATTAAATGCGCCCATGAGCGCGCCGTCAAACTCTTCACAGACTCCCTCATCAATGCCAGCCAGCCCATAATAGGCTTCCGTTGCCGTGACGACAGCTCCTTCAACAAAGGCCTGTGTCTGGACTGCAAACAGATGCGCTGCAACACGCTGGGCTTCGACGTGCGGCGCGAGCGCGCGGGGAGGAGCGTTAAAGGCCTGTACCTCAGGACCGGCCCGCAGGCGCCCTATAGAGGTCAGTGTGTGTGAACGAGTCTCTTCTCTTCTCTTTATATAGCACCTCCTCACTCTCTCCTCAGTCTTTCACTACCAGATCAAAGTCCTGCTGAAGAACCTGATCGAGCCCGTCGAGGCCTCGCTGTCCGTCTCACTCAACGGGACCGAAGGAGAGAGCCCACAACTACCCATAATCCTGTGAGTCCCAGCAAACACAGCCGCAGGTTACTGCTCATTCACCTAGAAAACCCTTACAGCAAAAAATAAATCATCTATCTATCTGTGGTGTTCTGAAATGAGGAGCCAAAGTCCTCACATTTTTACTTAAGTGTAAATTCATGTCCCAGTCACATTATCTTGATTACATTACTTACACTACCAGAATAAAAATCTATTTTGTATTTTTACATTAACAATGTAATTAATGGACTATTCTATTCATTAAAACCAAGTATAAATCTAAGTTTAGTGTTTTTAAGCATTTTACATTTATTCCAAAATAATAACTCAAGGCAGTAACAATTTAAACAAAGTATTTTATTTAAACAATTATATATTTTATTTATGTTCTTTTTCATCATAAGCTTATTTTCGGATCATCAGAGCTCGGTAAACACTGTTCAGAGATGCGGAGATGTACCTTTAATTTCTACAAGCTGATAACCCCACTGATCATGTTTTCAGGCCATTTTAAGTTTGATTTTGACTTGACAAAGTGGTTATATCTAAGTATGTGAGTTGTTTACTTTTTTAATTAGTCTTCCCATTAACGCCATTAGATTGTTCATTCAGACTAGGGTTGCAAAGGGGTGGAACATTTCCAGAAACTTTCCAAAAATCCCTGTAATATTCCAAAAAATCCTGGAAATTTTCCACCTTTTTGCAACCCTAACTCAGACTGATTCACAAACACAAGAGGCGGGATTAATCACATGAACCAATCACAGCCGAACATAATCAGTCATATCCAATCATATTTTGTAATATTTGCATTGTTTTATTTTTGTATTATGAATTTTTTCCTCATTCAATTTTTGTGCAGGCACTGCTTGAGTGTGTGTGTGTGTGTGTGTGTGTGTGTGAATGAGTGAGTGTGAGTGAGTGAGTGTGTGTGTGTGTGTGAATGAGTGAGTGTGAGTGAGTCAGTGAGAGTGTGAATGAGTGAGTGTGTGTGTGAATGAGTGAGTGTGAGTGTGTGAATGAGTGAGTGTGTGTGTGAATGAGAGTGTGTGTGTGTGTGTGTGTGTGTGAATGAGTGAGTGTGAGTGAGTCAGTGAGAGTGTGAATGAGTGAGTGTGTGTGTGAATGAGTGAGTGTGAGTGTGTGAGTGAGTGAGTGTGTGTGTGTGTGAGTGAGTGTGTGTGTGTGTGTGTGTGTGAATGAGTGAGTGTGAGTGTGAATGAGTGTGTGTGTGTGTGAATGAGTGAGTGTGTGAATGAGTGTGTGTGTGTGTGAGTGTGAGTGTGTGTGAATGAGTGTGAGTGTGTGTGAAGTGAATCATCATGAAGTTCTCACCGTCTGCAGGCATCAGGAGAGCGGCGGTCTGAAGTCCTTCACGTCTCTGCTGGTGGTATCGTCTGTCTTGGGCCGGCTCAGCTCCGTCAGGCTGGTCTGGAAGGGTGAACTGGTCTGGTCCAGCTGGATGAGGCGCGTCAGGAACATCATGAGCTGGAATGAGTGTGTGTGTGTGAATGAGTGAGTGTTTGAATGAGTGTGTGTGAGTGTGAATGAGTGAGTGTGTGTGTGTGAATGAGTGAGTGTGTGTGTGTGAATGAGTGTGTGAAGTGAATCATCATGAAGTTCTCACCGTCTGCAGGCATCAGGAGAGCGGCGGTCTGAAGTCCTTCACGTCTCTGCTGGTGGTATCGTCTGATCTGGGCCGGCTCAGCTCCGTCAGGCTGGTCTGGAAGGGTGAACTGGTCTGGTCCAGCTGGATGAGGCGCGTCAGGAACATCATGAGCTGGAATGGCTCTGATCAGGACGTGGAGCTCAGCGTGTGGAGGATCCTCATCAAATCAGGAGAGACTCAGGAGAAGTGAGTTTCCACAGAATACTGTCTGAGAAAGACTGAATCCATGCAGGAATCATAATATTCTCAGTTGCCTTGGTACGCGTCTCGAATCATGCTTAATAATCACAAAGCAGAAAGTGCATTTCTTCAGTTCACACAAACAGCAGCTCATAATGGATCTCCAGCAAAAGCCTGTAACTTGATCAAAATCATTCATCACAAAAAAATATCACATTTGAAGAAAAAAAAAAAAACGATATAGTATATTTACTATATAACTAAAAATTTCTATAATTATATATATATATACTGTATATATGTGTGTGTGTGTGTAATTATATAAACCATTTCAGAATGTAAATATTGAAAATGATTCATTTTAATAGTGGACACAAAATCTCTATTAGGCTATTCCAGCCACATCTGTAAAACATGAGTTTTCTCATGTTTTAAACCTTCATATATCAAAATACATTTTCAATTTCAAAAGCATATTTTACTGAGCTTCACTGTTTAATACATATATAGTGCATATTTTTTTGTTGTATGGGATCTTGTAAACGCAAGTATTTATGGCAGTGAATATATGCATCAGAATGACAGATGTGATTCACAAACGCTCGAGTGTGCTGTCAGTATACCGGCGTTACTCGGTCTGTGTTTCCTGTTCTGAACAGAGACTGAAAACACTGCATATTATATCAGTTCCAGCTGGACAAACTCACACATTACAGGATGTGTCATATTTCATCTAGGAGACTGGACAGGATTCACATTTACACAGTCAACAAATTACAGTATAATGTCACTGTGATACAGAAAAAAGATAAGACTGACTGAAAAAGACAAGACTGTTTCACAGCATAGAGGAAAAAATACAAACCTAGACAGACAAACATCAGAAATGTGCCTTTATTAGAACAGTTTGGAGATTTACAGTCGTCCACCTTCGCTAGTGAAAGCTGACTCCTGGTTCAACTGTTTTCATGTAATGACTTGATGTCAGGTTTCTGCAGGTTTGATGAAGAGGAATTTAAGACCTTTTTAAGACGAAGTAAATCGAAGGGATCAACACGTCAGTATGGTCTCTAATGAGTTACATTAGAAACACTTCAACATTGGAAAATTACTTTGTAAAATTAAACAGCTGAAGTCTTAAATATCTCTGCTCACAATCACTAGAATATGAAATAACTTTTACTGTATCTTCTGCAAAACAACTGCTGCTCTTCCTCAGAGTTTCTGTCTTGTTTTCCAGTGCAAATGTCTGAAGATCCTTAAATCAAGAAACATTTACTGGAGAATAAAAATGACAGAAGATGAGAAGCAGTGTTCATTTCATTGACAATATTTTTCATAACTTCGTAAAAAAAAAACAGTTTAGAATGACGTGATCGTCTCATTTTTGTCAGTGAAAGAAATGTCAGACCGATGAAAATCTACTGAAAATTTTTGTCAATTAATAATAAAAAATACGGAATAAAGAAGAAATTCTAGAGAAATACTTAATGCGTTACAGTTTAGCTAAATGTACTGTAATTTAGTCGACTAAAGTCTGATCTTTTCTAAACGAGACTAAAACAAACAATTCAGATGACAAGAGCATTTTAATCAAGACTGACAAAAGCAAGCAACATTTGCGGTCAAAATGAAGTGAGTTTTGATTAAAACAAGAACAAATACCTGTCAGAGAAATCAACTTCATTCAAAGGGAAACAGGTTTTCATTCCCCTCTGACAGATATTTGTTCGTTTTAATCAAACATCTTGTTCATTTTTTCAAGACTTCATATTTTCATTTTGCATCTCCAGTAAATGTATCTTGGTTTAAGGATATTCATAGATATTTGTACTGAAGAACAAAAATATCTAAGACATTGCTTTTGTAATGCATGCAACATTTAGTGCGGTGCCGTTATGAACGGCTGCTCAGATGTTCAGCAGACTGATCGTGCATCAGAAACTACATAATCAGCTGCATGAATCAGAAACTGCTTTCATGATGTGAAGAGTCCATGATTTGGAGGCTGAACAAGCAGTTGCTCTGAGAAAAACTGCTGTTAATAATGCATGATCTCACTTCAGGTCATAATTCAGAAGCATATAACTGGGTCTGAAGACATTACTGTGAACGCTTAAGCCAAGTTTAATTATTTGAGACCATCATTTCCCCCCAAAAAAACCTTCCATCTTCAGTGTTTTTGTCTTGTTTTCCAGTAGAATAGTCTACAGATGCTTAAATCAAGATACAATTACTAGAGCAGCAAAGATTTAAGATCATTTATTTGTGAATTAAGAGTGTAAAGATCAGCAGGAACCTGTATTTACTTCTATCTCACCCTCTCTGATCCGGTCTGTGCAGGTGGTGGTTCTGCGGCGTCTCCGCTGAAGTCTCTCGTCTGAGGATCTCGGAGCAGCAGGAGTTCAGACGCTGCCGGATCACAAACTCGAGCGCGCACAGCAGCCCTCCAACCCAGTCTGTTTATTAATGCAGTTCAAGTACTCCAAAAAAAATACATCTCTTTGCACAATACGTTCTGAAATGTTACGTAAAAATGTTCAAAGTGAACAAAAATTTAGGTACTGTATAAAACACAGTGAACATTAACAGACAGCAGTATTAATCTTTTTTTAAATCTGGTCTTTCATTCGTTTCTCAATTTTAGTGTTCAGCCTATTTTCTCCTACAACATCTGGACTCAATTAAGAAGTTTTTTTTTTTCAGTGCACTTTTCCTCTATGAAGTTTCACCAAGACTACCTAAAAATGAAATAAAGTCAAAATACAGGCAAATATTCAGATCTCCCTCGATCCAGACCGCCGCAAAACCACCGAACCAGGTTTCTTCCTCACTGATGGCAGTACGGTAAAGAAGAGTCGGTCTGGACTCCACAAACACAAAAGAACAGTATCAAAATGTAGCTTCAAATCGAACAGAAATCCTCCAGTTACTGTACAGCGTTCACATCAGAGGAAGGCCAGTCTGTCTCCAGCATCATGATGATGAAGGTGTGTAAACTAAACATGTTAATGTGACCGTTAGTACCGTGAGAATCCTCTTCACTGGGAGCCGAACGCTTTCCCATGATGCTCAGTTACTTCAGTCTTCTGAAATCATCGTACGTTTATAAAGGTTTCTTCATGATCGTCCTGCTAAAACACACATTAAACTCAAGTTTGCACTGCTCTTCATGCACATGTTCCTCATTGGTGGAGTGTGGTGAATGTGAGTGTATGGCAAGCCCCTTTAATATTTAATCCTAATAACATACTAGCATTAACTTTCATACAGCTAGTACTTATTCATAAGCTACTAGTGCTTATCTTTAGCTACTAGTACCTTTTTTAAAAGATAAGAGTACCTATTCATTCCTATACACCTATTACATACTAGTACTTATTCCAAGTGTTTCTGGAAAGATTTTTCATTTTACTATAAAGATTTTCAATTGAGCTCTACAGTGGCCATTTTGACTAGTAATAACATAAGAAGAGAAAAAAAAAACAGGTGTGACTAGTAAAATAAGAATTGCTACTAGTAACAATAACAAAAGACACTAGTGTCTAAAAAATAAGTACCTAAAACTAGTGCCTAACGAATAACTACAGGTGTCTAATAAATATATACTAGTATCTAATGAAAGTGATAGTATTTAATAAACAAGTACTAATTTCTAATCGAATGCTTACTAGTATTATTTAAAAACATACTAGTCACTATTGGAATTATTACTAGTCAAAACTGAATAGTAAATATCTGAATAACAGAAGTTGCAAAAAATTAAATGTGTTGCTACAACAATAGAACAGTTAGTAGTCTCTATTAAAATAAGTACTAGTATCTTTAAAAAGTTACTACTTCCTAAATAATGAGACCTAGTACTTAAAGAATAAGCATTAGCAGCTAATGAAGGAGTACTAGAACCTAATGAAAAACATACTAGTATTTAATGAATAAGTACTAGTTATCTAATGAATAAGAATTAGTACCTTTAAAAAGTTACTAGTACCTCAATAATAAGCACTAGTAGCTCAAGAAGTATGAAGATTAAATGTTGAATGGGCTTGCCATAAAGGTGTGGAGCTATATACAAACAAACACAAACACACAGAATGAAGCATGTAAACGGCGGAGTGACGCTGAGCCGCCACCTTTGTTAGTGTTTTTGAGTCCTGAGTGTTGTCAACAAAACCAACTGTAAATCTCTTATTGACAGTAGAAGAAATAATCTGTTCTCACATATAATACAGCTAATATCGTTTCTCTATACAGCCGCGAGCCTGCGGAAAAGGGAAGGCGTAACATTTCTGCTCTTACAAAATAAAATCCTTTTCTGTGCATGTGGCGACAGCTGGAGCAGACGCTTCGCACGAATCCTTAAAAAGATGTTTCATATCAAACCACGAGTCTCGAGTGGAGTTTACGAAGGACAACAGGAGATGCTCTATCTACAAATACCCCGGTAAACCTTGGCACTCGAGGGTAAAAAACCAACAGAAATAATCAAAGACGACAGAGTGAAGGGCAGAGCTGCGGTTGGTGTTACTCATCCAGTCTGAGGAAGCATTATGGACTCTGGACATATTCCTGTAAACCGACGCCACACGCGGGACTGTGGTGGTGATGAGTGAAGCCTCGCTCCACGCTCAGACTGAACGAAAGGCTCTGGAGCGCAGGCCGGTTCTGGAGCAAACGGAGTGGGGTGTGGAGGGGGGATGGCGGAGCTGTGGATGAGGCAGCGGCGGCGGCTCTCAGTGTCTCATCTGACCCATCTGGTAGTTCTCGCGGGGCTGCCGGTGGTGGCGCTGCGGCTGCGGCTGGCGCTGGGCCTGGCGTGGAGCCGGCAGTTGGTTCTGGTGGCCGTGAGCGTGCTGGTTCTGGTTCTGGTTGTGGTGCTGATGGTGCTGCTGCTGCTGACTGGCGTGTTGAGCTCGTCGTCTCTTCAGCGTACCTTCACGAGACAGAGAGAGAGAGAACGACTCTTCAGCATCACAGAGAAACACACGGCTTTCACGCTCACCACACTGGAACTTTGATACAATACCTTAAAATCCCGATTTCTGGTACCATGGACAAAAAATCCAACAAAATCAGGGGCATAACATTTGAAAATGTTTGTTTAATTTTGACCATAGTCAAAGTATTTTGTCAACTGAAACTCTGATTGGGATTATAATAATAATAATATTCACAGGAATACAATGTTTATTCTTGGGATATAAATAATTTTATGTATCACAGAAATATACTTATTACAATACAACTAAAGTGTTAAATAAAAAAATAAACATTGAAAAAATATATTGTTGAAAAGCAAAAAAATCAGAGGCATAAAATTTGAGTTTATTTACTTTTGACTATAGTCAAACTATTTTGTTATCAACTGAAACTGAAGCTCTGATTGGGATAATAATAATAATAAATATTATTATAATATCCCAATAATAAACATTATATACACTACTAAATGCAGTTCATATTATTATTATTTCTAAGATTAGTATTATAATAACACTACACTGTAAAATAAAAAAAAGAACATTTTATAATTAGCCTATTTTATTTTACACTTACATAATTAATACTTACAGTTAATTTCTTCAATTGTAAGAGTTAAAGATTTTATTTTGGCCAAACGCATCTCATTATAAATCTACATGCTTGAAAGTGTGAACTTCTGTAATCATTTGTCCACAAAAATGTTGGAAATTGTAAAAAAGTGTAAAGTTGCATTGCAAAAATGTATGTTAACCTTGCAGCACATGCAGGGATTGAGTTTGCTGCATTTACTGTGAAGTGAGATGCTGAAAACTGGATATAAACACTTGAATACAGCACTTCACTCTGAAACACACAGCATATTTTTATTTAATTAAAACACACACTGCGGCGTGTTGAGAGGAGAGAGTGAGAAAGAACTGTCAGTGAGGAGGTGCGTTACCTGGCAGTGGTTTAGGAGGAGGCAGTTTGGGGTTGCTGCTGGGCGTGTGAACACTGCAGATCTTAATGAATCCGGCCATGAGCATGATGAGAGCAATTCCCATAAGCAGAACCGCCCACCAGTGAGCCTGAGACACAAACACAGAATAAACACAAGTGCAGAGAGACAAACACACGCAGAGAAAAACACAGATTCAGCACACGTGCAGAGAAAAACACAGATTCAGCACACACGCAGAGAAAAACGCAGATTCAGCACACGCGCAGAGAAACAAACACAGATTCAGCACACACGCAGAGAGACAAACACACAGATCCAGCACATGCAGAGAAAAACAGATTCAGCACACGTGCAGAGAAAAACACAGATTCAGCACACGCGCAGAGAAAAAAAATGTGCATAAAAAACTTATGCGCACAACTGAATAGGATAAACTTTTTATCCAATAAGAAAAAATTAAGCACACGCGCAGAGAAAAACACTGATTCAGCACACGCGCAGAGAAAAACACAGATTCAGCACACGCACAGAGAAACAAACACACACAGATTAAGCACACGCGCAGAGACAATTACAGATTCAGCACACGCGCAGAGAAACAAACACACAGATTCAGC